TGTTTTGCTCATAAAAACTTCGTTTAGCTCCGAATCGACCCGTTCAACTATGCGTTAGTTTAAATAATTTAAGTAATCTCGTGTTAGTACTATTTACCATGTTTGCAACTTTTAAATTTCATGGTTAGGTTTAATTAAATAAATTGCTATAGGAAACCCGTTTAATTCCATAACTTTCGTGTTTTAGCTCTGTTTTTAAAGTGAACTTGGCGTTGATCGTGATTCGTGGCGAGACATAGAAACTTTCATAAACATTTTATCTTGTTTTCTTTTACTCTGTTGGTGCAATTGTTCTAACCATAGGATTGTTTGCTTTGCATGAATGCCTTTGGAATGTTGTATGTTGCCGTGTTGGTCGCGTTCAGACAGTGAGGAAACGTTGGAGACCAAGAGTTCTTCTGACGACCAAACCAGGTACCAAAGAGGGAGTTTGCTATAACCAAGGCAAGTATAGCATGTAGATCTACCTTGATGCTCATTCACCTTTATTAATTACTCATTTGCATGTGTCTAATTTTGATACCCGTAGACATCCTAGTGATTGATTACCCCTGCTCCTTGTCTCCTATGGGTTATATGCATGGGTAGTTTGCTAGCGCCAAAGTAACTATACATGATCCACATGATGAATGATGGTTCTATGGAACGAAAATTGTAAAATTTGTTTTAAACAATCGAATTATAGGCGATGGAGCTAATGACTTTCGATCATGATGCTCTCGCCCTCCATAAGAGACTTATCTGTTTCAAAAAGCTGGGGCAGCGAGCAAGCAAGCCGTGAGGTCACATGGCTCGACTTTAGCTCAGAGTAGGACCTTTTCTAGCTTGTTAGAGTTACCTTTATGGCGCAAAAGGGCTTGCCACGTTGGGTATAGGGCCACTCTGCTCCTATGTGTATAGCCACTGATGGATATATGCCATATGAAAAGGGGTTCCTACATCGCCTTACCAAGGAAACCTAAGCGGCCCTAACTTGTTAGAGAAACCTATGAAATGGCTTCATAGTGTACCTTGCCCGCCACCTTGTAGTGATATGGAGAGTAATTAACCTTGGGACATATAGGAATCACGACTTCGCGGTGAATGTACACCACCTCTGCATGAGGGTAACAAATCTATTATAATAGCCTGCGAGAGTGCTCACGAAGTCACGAAGCGTTGACCAGAAAACTCACGAGAATAATTGGTTACTCATTGTTGTTCAGATTATGATGGTATATGATGATATGATCCAAATGATCTTGATATCCGATTAAGTGGGTTTAAATGGGAGCTTAGCATAACTTAATAATACTTGATAATAAAATCTTGACTTACTAAAAAGTGCTAATACGCGATAAACCAGTGTCAACCTTTTGAGCTTCATAACCCCATGTTAACTTGTTAAGTAGAAGTAATTACGCTTGTTTACTTTCTATATTTGGATAAAAATCCCGGATGGAGTACAGATGACAACGCAATGAAGAGTTTCCGGAGGATTATTGAGGCTTGTGGTCAACCAGTTGACCGTCCCTGTTGAGCTTCCACGTGAGAGCTATCTTTTATTTTCCGTTGTGTTGTGTAAGACTAAGTTATGTTATTAATCGTGATGTAAGAGACACCGTGATGATACTTTATGTAATTTGTCGACTTATGTGTGTAGTGATCCTGGGCACACATGAGCTTTATGCATTCAATTTATCCTTAAAATTGGGTGTGACAAAATATGTACCTGCATAGGGATCTGTATGCACTTCCAATGCTCTAAAAACGAATACAAGAACAGAGATTTGCCAAAGCCCATGCAGCAGTGACACGAACCTAAATATTAACATTTACAGGTAAGCATAACTGAGAGAGAGGGAAAGGAAGGAAGAAAGGGAGGATATCATACTGGAGTTGATGAATTATGTGTATTGAACTCAATGGCATCTATGAACTTGCCTGGTAGGCTAGAGCTGCATGAGAAAACAGTGCATCACGCACTATTAAGTAACTTAACAAAAATGCTTTGAGTTTAGCATTTTTTTAGGAGAGGCTGCAATGCAATCACAGTTGTGAAAATTACCTTGACAATATCTGAGGAAAACATGCAACAATGCCAATAGCTCGACCGCCAGCTGATCTTACACTAGGAACCATATCATTTAATGCCGCATGAACCTAGACAAGAACATTTCAATACAATATACAATGTTTCTGAACAGGGTAAGAAAACACAATCAGATACAGAAATAGACTAATGAGATTCCTGACTTACAGATGAGGAGGTCACATAGTCTCTTTTATTTTCTAGCAGGGAAAGAATACATCAGAAGTCATGCCAGCAAAGCATGTGAGGGATGCTGTCCTGACCTAGAAATAAACAGATGCTTTATCAGTCCAGGAAAACACAAACAAATAGGTCCTAGTGCACATCTAGCTTTCTAAGAAGTCAATCAATCCTAAGCTTGATTAAGTTTATAAAAAAACTAGTATCAACATTTATGTTTACAAATAGGTTTATATGAAAATATATTTCATGATTAATCTAATGATACTTATTTTGTATCAATAATGTGTCTTTTTTATAGATATGGTCAAACTTGAAATTGGTCGATTGCTTGGAAAACAAGATGTGCACTCTTTTTTGGGAAGTAGGGAGTATAAACAATAGCATAAGCACGATGTCCATTCAACACTTTGATGATTATAAATTAGCTGGCTTCTTTAGGTTAAGTGGGCAGCCATTTGTTGCCATTCTGCTTCATTAAGTTAGGAACATAGCATCAATAACTTAGACTATTGATAGACAATGAAATCTCATGGATGTTTTACTGCAAATAACAAAAGAAAATGCAGAATACAGGTTCTAGAGTGGTAAAATACCATAGCAGAGCCATGGGATAATCCCTGAGGGAGATGAGTCTCTATCACCTCGATCCAACGGCTAGTTCCAAGTGTTATGTCCAAAGAGCAATTCTGTGATGATCCAGCAGCTTCCATTTCAAAGTGAGGTGCAGACTTAATAGTTTTATTTATGGTACAGTCAGAAATTTGCTGAATATCCAGCAATCTGCATTCTTTGATGTCATCTGCTCCTTTGAATCCAGATGAAACACGCAGACATTCATCCATTACCTGAAAGGGAGGGGGGGAAATCTTAACCATATATAAATGTATAAATGATAAAAGGTTATTTACAGTACATCCATCACTAAAAGGAAATGGTCTACTCACACTACTGACTCAATATCTATGTCAATAATAGCATACCAATACATAAAAATGGAAAAGGATAAAGCACCAGTACATGCTGCATAAAGCAATCAAGTTCATAAGAACATGAGCATGAAAATTATACAAGCATAGACACAATGCAAACAATGGAAGTCTAATGTTGGATGAAAAAGCTTGTATATACATACAACTTTATGTGTTATATCATATGCAGATTAATACAACTTAAAGGTTGATAGTAGCGCAACATCCATAGTTTATCGTGCTTTCCTAAAGGAGTTAGGGTTGAAGTTCAGAAATGCACAGCGGACACAAAATGTGATATAGCACAAAAGTACAGATTGTTAAGCAATATCACAGAAAACATTACCTTTATTCCAGCCACAAGACATCTTTCCTTGATTGATGATTCTTCTTTGGGTCCAGAGGGCCCAAAGTTAGCATCATACTTTTGGTCTTCAAAGCTTTGTATTTGCAACAAATTAAGAACGTTGTCTCAAGTTTTCCCAAATCATGTTTGCACAGCTTGGGTAGTTGTGAACCGCTGATCTCAGCACCTGAGCACACATAAAAGGTGGATGAATTATGGACAAGAATGTCGACTTGTATGCAAAGACAACTAATATACATATGGAAAATGCATTTTGTAATTTGCGATAAGCCCTACAAGGATGCTGGTGCACAGCAATTTATTCCTATGGCTAAAGCCCACATACATAGGAAATTTATGTTATGGTATCTCGATTGGTGGTCCATATGTTCTTATTCATCATGCCTGGACTTGTATCTTCAGTTGATGCAACAGGTGGTTGTCGAATGAAATATCATCATTTAAATTGTACAGACATGGAAAGGACAGAATGTTACTTTTATTTAAAAAAAAGGATGAAGCTCAACTTTCCTGAAAGCCCATTAAAATCAAAAATACAAACAAGATAACCAGCATACAACTTAGAAGGATGATACAATAGTTTTCAACAGCGCCAGTGGTTATAATAATAAGACCATAATATAGGAAAAGCTTATAACAAGGGGGGCCCGGAGTAGAGGGGAGGGAGCGAGCGACACTTAGCAATGGAAATACATGATATGTCAACAGTCAAGTCTGTCAGACAGTTACTGGACAAACAAATGCAAAAGCAATCTGTAAGATTCACTGAATCAGAATGACAACTTGCCTGGAAAGCTCCATGTCTAACACTGTAATACATTTCCTCCTCTATACAATGAAGAAGAATAGCTATAACATTTAATTCTTCCTGATCATGTGATGGTCCTGAAAAGCCCATATTGATACAAAATGTGATAGCTTAGTACTTTTCAAACCCTTTTGAATAAGAACAGCTTTGCTTGCCTTTTAAGAAGACAATACAGTAGATTTGTGCAGTATAAATGATGAAAAATGAGAAAACCAAGGAAGAATATTATTTAAATTCAGGATTACAAGGCCTAACCAACACAGCAATCCTCAGAGAGAACCACAAAGACATCCAAAGTTGGTGGCACTTTTGAAAATGCTGTCTCCAAACAACTTAGAACATTAACCTGTTGTGCACTCATGTAAGGAACAGGGCACCCAAGACCACTGGTTCTTCAATAAAGGAATTAACCAAAAAAAAAAACTAACCAGCAAGGCATAATGTTCAGTATTGTTTGAGTGCTTGTCCAGTATTCTACTGCACAATACTTTAATGATTGTTGGCAACAACTCCTTTGGCATCCGAGTGTACCTGTTTGTCTAACATATTATTAATTATACAAAATCGAGTAGAGAAAATAGAAAACAGGCGTGTCAAGATCATACGGTGTAGCAGATATCAAAAGAATGAGAAATCTGAACAATGCCGCAAGCAAAGTAGCTTGAGTTTCACGCTGTATCAAGTATAGTGCTCCTGCAAATCAGAGGGAGCCAAAAATGTAAAATGCAAAACCTCAACAGATCTCTTACAAAGTGGAGGGATCTAGTTAATTGATCACAGATGGATAGGAGAAATGGCTGAACAAAAATATTCAAGTTCCACCAAAATAAAGGGACAAAATGCTGGGATTTTAGTGCTCAGCTGTAGAAATGAGGCTATGGATAACTTAAGTACTTAAATAAGTTAATAGTGGTAGTGATAGTGATATGAAAGATCTGTTCTAGAGTGCTTTTTGGTGTGAGAGCTCATATTTTTTTTAAAGTGGATAACATAAGTATCTGGAACTTGTGGGCCCAAAAAAACATCTAATCTGGTGTGGCCCATTGTTCCTAGTCATAACAAAAGTTTCAGCTCAGCTGAGTACACCGTCACTGCTCACAAATTGGATCAAGCAAGTTCAGACCAGAAGCAAATTACTGGAGATGTTCAGAAGACTTCAACCAGAGTTTACTGTGTACTGAGGTTGGGCATCAACAAGCTTAATGTAGCAACCCGTATTTGCTTTATGGACCCTGACACCCGGTTACTGTGTTTTTCTTTGAGACATGCCTCTTCTAACTGTTTTAGCTTGTGTAACAGATGCCGGACAGGTTTGGGAGCCAAGAGGAACATAAGAATTAGAATGGTACGTAAACAGATGCCAAACCAGGAAATTGAGACCAGGCACCACTGAGTTTCTCCTGATTATTCTTTCCTTGATTCCAAAGAGATGACCAGTTGGCATATAGATATAATAGATGCAAGGTAATCTTTGGCCTAACGACTTTGGGGGTCATGAGTTCATGACCCAGCATCCCAGCAAATTAACAGCCCTATCTATCTGACCTGGCGTGTAGAAGCTATGACCTGACAACTATAGGGGTTGTTTACTTGTTTTCCATAAAAAAGTAATAGAGGTCGCACAAAATCCTGCTGCTACAGTGGTGCTCCTTGGGCACATACAACCAGCCCAGTCAGCATGTCATGACAGCTTGAGCTGAGCATAGTTGGTATTAGGTAATGGTGCAATCAATTACTTTAGGATATGATTTTCTATTTGGAGCAACAGTTGTCAACCACAATCTCCGGTGGTAAAAAAAAGTCCAAGATATTATAGTATTGGATTCTGAAAATATCAGTAACTCCCCTACCTGTATGCAGTTGCATCAATATTTGACCAAGTGAGGAAGATAATGTGGTGAAAGATCCACGCTTGGACGACTCCTTGTACTCTGCAACTTGTATCAAAACTAATGCTTGCCCTTCCAGCATGGAAGCAATGGTTGATGCTGCCTCAACACGTACCTGCGCATATTTAATTCAGGCCATATAGATGGTGTACATTAGAGTTTATAAACTGAAAATTAACAATTTGATGTGACTATAAATTGCATGTTCCATCAAATTCGAAAGACGGTGAAAGATATTTAAATTGAGAAAGTATCATATAGAGAAATTCCATAGTGCCTGCCCACTCGGTCAAACATAGGAATCACATTCAGACTAAGTTTGCTGTACAAAATTACATCTATTTCGACGGAGGAGATCAAGGAAAGGTGAATGCAAAGTAAAGTTTGGATTAAGTGCATCATTTATCAATTTGGTTACTACATTAGAATTTCCTATTTCCATAAAGCACATAAGTCATAATGGCATTACGGCAAATAAATGCCTTCATTCGCACAGTTCAAGGAAAGCACAGCTTTGTCAAATGCAGAATAACTAGAAAAAAAGATTGTATAATGATGATTATGCGCGCAAATTTGAGAAACTTCAAATCAGGATATATGTATGTAATTGAAGACTTGTACCTTTGTTATAGGATCAAAAAGCAAGCATGTCATCAGAGTTGCTTGATATTTCCTGTACAAGCAACAAAAAGTAACATCAGATGATGTTAAGGTGTAAGAAAAGCTGTAGTGTTGTATGAGGAAAAGTTTACCTTTGTTGGAGAACATCATTCTCAGGCAAAAGTACTGGCCATTGTGAAGTAAGTAACTTTGGATCAGCACGGCAGATATCCTAAAAGAGGTGAGAACAGGATAGTGAGATGGTTACTTCAACAATATGAGCATGTTGAAATATTTGATGTTGCATTCGATATTTGATATCTCATATGGCATAACTTCAGGAAGAAAATGACATCAATTAGTGGAACTATGCAGATGCCATCGTAAGATGAGCTATCAAATAATCATTTTTTGAGCTCCACAATTTAATTTAATTTGTAAAATAAAAATCAAATCATAAGTTTTTTGAATTGCCATAGGGGAGTTAAGTTGCCCAGGTTATCTAATAGGTCAGACAATTTGCCTTATGAAATCAGTAGATACCTATTAAAGGGTACCACCATCCCTTCATATATTCAATAAAAGAAACAACCATCCTAAAAGTTAACTATGAAGGACATATCCCATGATATTTAACTCCACTATACAGCTCAACCTAAGCTGTACAAATGCATAAGGAAAATTTGACTAATGGATGTATCAGAACTAAGAAGGGAAGCACGATTCAAAGCATATGTGTAGCTACATACCTGTACACAAAGGATGGCAGCTAATCTAGCCTTTGAACTCCGGAAGCGGTCTCCACTTTTTGCATAACCATCACTATCACTCAGGTCTGAGTCTGATGAGCTTATATCATACCGAGAATATTCACTATCTGAATTTCGACCTTCCAGTGAATCATTCTCTCCTCCATCCTTGTTCCTCAAATGAGGTGGTCTATATCGTCCATGTGAAGCTCTGGGTTTTGAATCTGTTCTAGTTTCTTTTGGAGCTAGTGTAGGAGGTGAAGATGACCTCAGCCCATATATGAAAAAATATTTGCAGATTTGCCACAAACCCTGCAACCTTGAAGTTTTATGGACATTGTTACAATCAGAAAATACATGTAGAAATTTTATTTAAATGAGAGGACTAAAGTTTTATTTTATACTTACATGCCCTAAAAGTGGTCCTTTGGGATCCGCAAAGAACCAAATGTGAGACAACGAAGAAAGGAAGTATAAAATCTGTTAAATTGGTGAGGTTAGATTTGAATTTACCATTCATTCAATTCACTCTGATCTGTAATCCATGAAATAATAAAAGTACTAACCTTGACATGACGCTACTCTCTATAACAAGATTCCTTGCTGTGACAAAATCCATAACTTTCCTCAAGACCTAGAAAGTACAAAACTGGAGTTTGGGTTAAAACAGAAGGCCAGTGCACACATTGATAATAAAAAAACTCAATTCAAGCCACAGAACAGATGTGCAATGTGGATCAGGCAGTGCTTGATGTGTTAGCATGTAACAGTGCCAAACATCAGCAGAAGTCTAGGTGATCAGTCACAGATGAAGCTCTAAACCATTGATGACGGTTGTGTAATAAATTCTACATTCTTGCAGATTTCTTTTGCTGTGGTACTTGTTCGGTCACTCAATGCCCCCATGTCAATGTCATAGCACCAAGCAGAACAACAAAAAGATAAGATCAAAAATCACTAACCTCAATGACAGACTGCCACAGATTTTCTGTCATATTTGATGCAACCTTACTCAGTATATCTTCCACCATGGAAAATGCAGATATCTTCATATCCCAAATATTGGAATTTTTACTATTCACAGATCCAGAATTGTGGGAAGAAATGCCAGTGGCATTTGCTGGTTTATCAGAGATGTTCAGTTCAGCTTGCAAGTATGATACAATCGAGACGAGCACTGTTAGTGAATGTGAACTTTCAGTTAATGAAACGCTTCTTCCATAATCCCTGCTCCAGAACCTGGCCATCAAGAACAGAAAGCATTTAGGAGAAATATAAAGATCATACTCCTTGATGACATTTGAATTAATTATGAATGCAGTAACTTTAGTATCACATACATACAGTAGAACTAAAGGCATTTTCCTTTTCTCCAACGTGTAGGATAAGTGCACATCACTAAAGGCAGATTTTTCAAGAACCATTGAAAGGATTGGAAAATAATAATAATAATAATAATAAAATTGTCAAAGGCTGTATAGCCCCACCCTTGCTTCTCACTTTTGGCAATTACACCAGCATTTCAGGATTGATGCAGATTATCACTTTCAGTATTAAATTTGGCATTTTGCCTCCCTGGACTTTTAATGTAGCCTGACTCATTCACCACTATGCCCTAAAAATTGGCATTTGTTTCCTCTTGATTGAACAATATGGGTGCTAAATTGCTGAAACTTGAGGTGCATGAGGTAATTTGCATCAAATTAAAAGTATGGATGGAACTGCCAAAATCTATTCATGGGGGTCTGGAGTATCAGGCAAGTACAGGTGGTGCAGCACAATTTCTTTAAGTAGCCATAGAGGTTTGCTTATCTGGAATAAAGGGAAGAACTTCAGCCAAAAAAAGAAGGGCTATGATAGCAAATTCATCATTTAAAAGTCCTTTAGGTAAGGGTATGTTATATTGGTATAGTTATAAATGTAGAAGTCACAGTTGACTGTTGATAGAAGCAAGAAAGAATCAGAAATTTTTATGTCACTGAAAGTTCAGTCGGTACATGAATAACTAGCAAGAAAACAGGCCATTTCTTCTTAATTCAAAGAGCACAAGTGCAGGAACAGTTTCTCCAGTAGTATTTTATAATAAACAAAACCTAACCTGAGGATATGTAAACATTCAGATGTTGTATTCAATGCAGCTGTCCTACTAGAGAGGCCCTTCATGCATGCGCCCTCAATCGAGCATTTGACAAGTATGTCAAGAAACTTCAACATTGCAAGACAACCAGAAGAGTCAATCTCCATATTTGTTTTGCACATGACATCATAAATCTGCAAAAGTACATTTTTTTCATGAAAATTAATGCACAGATTTTTTTTTCAGTTTATCCAAAACGTATAGATCTCACACTGATAGAATATTTGAATCTTATCAGTAGCCTAACCCAATATGATTGGACTAAAAAAATACATGGTGAAACTGAATCGAGCCACATTACACTATAATAGTCGGTACATATGCATTCCACCATGTCCTGCGATTGCCACCTATAATAGGTCGACCGAGCGGAAGCGCAGAACCATTACCAGGTGGCAGACACTGCGCAGCGCGTCGTCGGCGCCGGGGCAAGACGCCACCGCCGCGGCCGTGTCAGCGAGGAACGCCACATCCGAGCCCACCTGCACAGAGAGGCGAAACGCCACAGCGAGTGAGATCGAGCCGAGCCAAAGCGGGGCGGAGACAGAGGGGATCAGGAACCGCACCTCGTGAGGGGAGAGCGCGGCGGCGGACGTGGCGAGCGAGGGCGTGGCCGGGGAGAGGAGGACGCGGCGGAGGAGCTCGAGGAGGGCCGTGGGCGAGGACGAGGCGAGGGACTCGTCGCGGAGGGTGAGCAGCGCGGTGCGCCACGGACGCGCGCTGCCTCCGGAGGTCGAGGCGGAGGCCATCATCGGCCGCCGCCGCCGCCGCCGGTGAAGTCGCGGGCTTTGCTTTGGCCTTGGGTTTGGGTTTGGTGGCCGAAACGCACGAAGAGGAGGGAGCCTGGGAGCGGGATTCTTCGCGTCCGAACGGTCGGACGGAAGACGTCCACCGAACAGCTCTCCCGCCCGTACGTCTGTATGCCTTCGCACTACGAGAAACCTGGAGTACTACCTCTCAAATAAAAAAGAAATATGGAGTATTTAAGTGAGATCGGCATCTTTTTTTCTTTTCTTTTCTTTCTTTTTTCTTATTTCTTTTTTCTGCATCAAATTATTTTTATTTTGTTTTTGTTTTATGTGATTTTTTATCATTCTTTTCCTTTTCTATAATTTTATCCTTCTTTTTTTATTTTTTATTTTTCTTTTTTCTTTTTTCATTTCCGTGCTTCAGTTTATTTAATTATTTTTTGTTTTATGTGAATTATTACTATTCTTTTCATATTTGAATTCTTTATCTTTCTTTTATTCCTTTTTTTCTTTTCCAGTAATTAATTAATTTGTTTGTTATTTTATTTTTGTTTTATGTTTCATTCTTTTTTTGTTTTTCTTTTCTTTTTTATTTTCTCTTTTGCCTTGATGTTTTCTATAGGTTTTTTACTTTCTTTTTTATTTTACTCTATTAATTAATTTCTTTTAATGTTTCAACAACAACAACAAAGTCTTTAAATTCCAAACAAGTTGGGGTAGGCTATAGTTGAAACCCAACAGAAATCATCAAGGTTCAGTCACATGAATAACTGTTTTTCAAGCACTCCTATCTAAGGCTAAGTCTTTGGGTATATTCCATCCTTTTAAGTCTCATTTTATTACCTCTACCCATTTCTTTTAATGTTTACTTTTTAATTTTCCTATATTTAATGAGATGTTGCGATGTTCACGTAATATAAAATAATGTTTTATGATGTTCTATACAATGTTCTTAGATGTATTTTGTGATGTTCACGTGGAGGGAGTATGTGATTTCTACGTTATTTTTGTGATGTTGATGTGGCATACATGTGATGTTCTACGATATATTTTTGTGATATTCATATAATATACATGTGATGTTCTATAATTAATTTTGGTGATGTTCACGTGGTATACAGTGATGTTCCATAATGTTTTTTTTATGTTCACGTGATATACACGTGATGTTCCATAATATTTTTTTTATGTTCACATGGTATACATGTGATGTTCTACGATGTATTTACTGATGTTCATATAGTATCTATGTGATGTTCTATGATATTTTTATGTTTATATGGTATACATGTGATGTTTTATGATACCCGTATAGTATATTCACGTAGCATACAATGATGTTTATGATGTGTTTTATGATGTTCACGTGATATACATATGATGTTCTATGATATATTTTATAATGTTCACACGGTATACTTATGATGTTCTATGATGTATTTTTTGTGATGTTCACGCGGTGTAATGCTCTATGATGTATCTTACAATATTCATATTGTATAAATAAGATGTTCTACGATTTTTTTTAGTATCTATATAGTACTCGTGAGGTGTTCTAACATCAACTATCGCGCGCGAAGCCCTCGATGGTGATGGAGGTGAAAGGCGGTTGCATGGCGCATGTTCCTACCAATGCAGTGCTTTTTCTTATTCTTTTATTTAAATTTTCTTTTATTTTGTATTGCATTTTTCTTTTTCTCTGTATATTATTTTAAAATTTATTTTTTCATTTGTCATTTTATTTATATTTTTTTCCTTCTTGCTTCTTTTTTTTGAATTTGTCGGTGTTACATCATGTATCAAAACATTTACCTTTGCTTAACTGTCTAGATGATTTGACGTGTCTTTTACATTTGTCTAGGTTACATCACATACAAGAGTATTTGACTTTGCTAAACTACATAAATAATTTTATACATTTGTGATGTGTCTTCTACATTTATCTAGATCACATCACATACCACATCATTTGCCTTAATTATAAAAATATTTTGTATATTTGTCACTTGTATTCTGTATTTGTTATGTTATATTATTATTTTATATTTATCTATTTCTGTATTTTCATAAATTTGTCATTTATTTTTTTCTATATTTAGTTCTGTTATAGATATTATAATACAAATTGCATGAATCTATAATTTCTTCTCCTAGATCTAGAATGTGTTCCTTTAAACTGAGAATATTTTTCTTGTGAAGACGGAACATTGTTTTCTTAAACTAGAACATTACATTTGCTTAATAAAAAATTATTCCATATTATATAAAAAATATTCATTAATAAAATTTTATCTAAACATATCTAAGTGAGATCTTGTTTTGAAGATTTTATTATAAGAAATATAATGGTGCAATCAGAATTTAATTTAGAATCTTGATTTGGCTAATATGACATTTTTAACTTTTTAAAAAAGTTTCATGAACGATGATGTCAGCTGATTTGGAATTTTGCATGGCTCCATGCACGAGTAATACATGATGGTTTCTAATCAATTATGAAGTGGTCCAATATTCAGAGCTTGTTCGGCTTAGTCAATGGCCAAAGCCACTCAATGAAGGGCCTTTGTTTACGCCATATTAGTAACATTATTTTTCATTCTGCTTTAATAGGCCTCTCACCCCACCGTGCGTGTGTGTTGCCGTGAGTCGCTGTGGGACCTTCAAGTGCTTGCGGGAACACATGGGCGGCGAGGCAGGCGTGGGACCTACGAACGCTGGTGGGATGTTCTATGATGTATTTACTGATGTTCATATAGTATATATGTGATGTTCTATGATGTTTTTATGTTTATATGGTATACATGTGATGTTTTATGATACCAGATAGTATATTCACGTAGCATACAATGATGTTTATGATGCGTTTTGTGATGCTCACGTGGTATACATATGATGTTCTATGATATATTTCGTAATGTTCACACGGTATACTTGTGATGTTTTATGATGTATTTTGTGATGTTCAAAGGTGTAATGCTCTATGGTGTATCTTACAATATTCATATTGTATAAATAGGGTGTTCTACGATTATTTTTGAGTATCTATATAGTACTCGTGAGGTGTTCTAACATCAACTATCGCTACCAAGCCCTCGATGGTGATGGAGGTGGAAGGTGGTTGCATGGCGCATGTTTCTACCAATGCGATTTTTTCTTATTCTTTTATTTTGTATTGCATTTTCTTTTACGTATATTATTTTAAAATTTATTTTTTCATTTGTCATTTTATTTATATTTTTTCCTTCTTGCTTCTATTTTCTTTTTTTCTTTTTTTGAATTTGTCAGTGTTACATCACGTATCAAAACATTTACCTTTGCTTAACTGTCTAGATGATTTGACTTGTCTTTTACATTTGTTTAGGTTATATCACATACAAGAGTGTTTGACTTTGCTAAACTACATAAATAATTTTGTACATTTGTGATGTGTCTTCTACATTTATCTAGATCACATCACATACCACATCATTTGCCTTAATTATAAAAATATTTTGTATATTTGTCACTTGTATTCTGTATTTGTTATGTTATATTATTCTTTTATATTTATCTATTTCTGTATTTTCATAAATTTGTCATTTATTTTTTTCTATATTTAGTTCTGTTATAGATATTATAATACAAATTGCATGAATCTATAATTTATTCTCCTAGATCTAGAATGTGTTCCTTTAAACTGAGAATATTTTTCTTGTAAAGACGGAACATTGTTTTCTTAAACTAGAACATTGCATCTGCTCAATAAAAATTATTCCATATTATATAAAAAATATTCATTAATAAAATTTTATCTAAACATATCTGAGATCTTGTTTTGAAGATTTTATTATAAGAAATATAATGGTGCAATCGGAATTTAATTTAGAATCTCGATTTGGCTAATATGACATTTTTAACTTTTAAAAAAGTTTCATGAACGATGATGTCAGCCGATTTGGAATTTTGCACGGCTCTATGCACGAGTAATACATGATGGTTTCTAATCAGTTATGAAGTGGTCCAGTATTCAGGGTGCGTTTAGATCCAAAAAAATTTTGGATTTTGGGTCACTGTAGCATTTCGTTTGTATTTGGTAATTAGTGTCTAATTATAGACTAATTAGGTTCAAAAGTTTCGTCTCGCGATTTCTCGACCAACTGTGTAATTAGTTTTTTTCGCGCCATATTTAGTCTTTCTGACGTATCTTGTGATTCGACGCGACGATTCTTTATGCAAAATTTTTTGGCAACTGAACGGGGCCTCAGCCCATTTGTTCGCGTGTTGCCAGAGTCGCAAAATTAATCATTGGCGTGGGACCTACGAGCGCTGGCGGGAACGCGTGGGCAGGAAAATCTGTCGGCGTCAGGCTATGGTCCGCCCGCCCGGACCTTAGCAGGCCCCGCCTGGGAGAGCGACCGTTTGGGCTCTACTGGTCGGAAGCAGCCCTCCGACATCCACCCTGCAATCCTTTTTCTTTTTGGCCCATGCTGGTTCAAGAGAAATGACACAAGAACAGCACCTTTACTGTATGATGACGGTGCTGAGGTCGAATTATTTTGTATGAACGATAAAACACCATGGTATGTTGGCATTTCAGTCGATCATACTATTCTTGAACATTTAGGACATATTTGCCTTGTGCTCTTTTCAGTTCATCTAGTATCAACTTGGTAGTCCCTTCTACTTGGCCATCAACGGTCATGATGACATCGTGGATGCTTTCAAGTTTGTCCATGCCATGAAGACCTTCCAACCTTTTGAAACGCAATTCAAGCCTTTCGAGTGCTGACATTGCCCCCTTCTGAAAAATTGAGAGATGGCAGATGTGGAATGAAGATGCGAAGCAGCTTTAGCTTAAGGAACCCTCCAGCCGGCACAAAGATCTCACCCCGGTAGTTGGACTTGTTCTTCACAAGAATGGCTGTTATATCAGGATCATGTTTTGCTGCACAGACTGAAAAGGTGAGGGAAAACAATGTCCTCAACTTGCTAAGGAGCTTCAGAGTGTCTGTATGTAGAGCTGT